GCTCCTTTGAAACACTACCTGGTTGACATAGAATATAAAATTGCAATTGTTATTTTTACATTTCTAACCCCCAATTGCACAATGTCAATCTTCTTAGTTATTATGCTACTTTGTTTGAGTTTTACCCATCCCCCTGTTTATTATGCCATTCTAAATTCCTAATTGTAATTTTTATTAAAATTGCAAGCATTGAGCCTGCCTTATATAATCTAATCAGGATAAAAATTAACTCCTAAATTTACCCTACAACGACAACTTATAGACCTTTAAAATCAGTAAAATTTTCTGCAAAGTGAGAAAAGTATCTTATTTATTCATCACGTGCTTAAAGTCGTTGAAGTTTGATCACAATATGCATGCTTTAAAGCAATTCGGAAACGTAGTTACACACAATTATATACTTGATTTTGAAAACTTCCGATTACCATAGTATCATCAACCACGGGATTAATCAACACCTACTGGTAAACTTACTACATTTGTCGTAAACTTTTCACTTCTACATATAAGTACAATGTGGCTTAATTGGTCATGTGCTTAATTTATAATTAGATAGACTAAAACTTCCACCTGAGTAAACTTGAGTAATTTTATGTGGTGCAAAGTATAATATTTTTATCATTGTCTGATTGCTTCAAGCACCACCAAGCAATCAACTATTTTCCAATCCAGTCAACCAGATGACTCTTACTCAATGATTTCCGTCAGGCTTAAGACACTTGTGAATAACAAGGTGAAACTTTTCAATCTGGATGACTGACACAACATTCATATATCTTTATTAACGTATCTAGAATGAATTCTGATATTTTCCACAGCTCATTCAAAAACAGCCAGTACAAGGCTGTTTTATTTCTTTTCTCGACTAATGGGCCTACTACAGACTAAGTGAAAAGAACGAAAACAGTCAGTTTGCGTTTTCGGTGGATGATTAAATCATAGAGCTTAAATTATCTTCCTGGACAACGCCTTCAGCGCTAAATTCAGCGTGAAGTTTTCAACGAAACCACCCAGTTCAGGGAATACAGAAAAAAACCCAAAAACATCAGTGTGAGCTGCAAATCTTCAATGGTATTTTTACCACCGATTCTTTTGGTCGAAAAACTTCATTCCCTTCTCAATAGTCTATCCGATTTGTGTTGTGTTTGCTTCCCGCCATTAATTTAAATGTCACACATAATCTCAAATTTTAATTTAGGTATCTGTGAAATGTATTCACACCGTTTTCTTTTGTATGCTGAAATACCAAAATAATATATACTACTGAGTGCTATGAGTAATTGGAAACCAGTTAAGCTAGTCAGTAGTGCACTGGTTTGCAATACAATTTAAAGCCAAGAGGAGAAATGACAAGTAGCAGCGATTAGCAGTGAAAAATATCAGTAGTTGTTTATAGTAAATACAAATATATATATGATTTTTTTGTCAGCAGTCTATTTCAGTTTACTGACAGTCAACAAGGTTGAAAAGTTTCATTTTGTTATTTTGTTAGACTGGTTTGATTCAGTAAATTGTGAAATAATGCTGGTAGATCTCTGATAAGCGTTTGGATAAGTGACGTGAACAAACGTCCGGTGTTTAAGTAACCTCACTCTAACTGGTACATACTACTGCTTAATAATAAAATCGGTTCCTAACTGCTGATGTAGGCCACTGGTATACATTTATCTGGTTTTCATGACCATCAATAATGATACCAGGCATACCACATATTGTGATCCAAAAATTGTGCATCTGAAAGGAAAATTGCGACGAATTTTTTACTTTGGATTGTTTAAATTGCAAATGATGAATTGTATTCTTGTTGAAATACCTTCCACTTGAGGTAAAGTAGCTAAATTAAGAAGCAGGTGCAGCCCGAATAGGACAAAATGAGCATTCTGGATTCCACTACTAGTCACCATCCGCCAGTTTAACTTCTAAGAAGCTGATTATTTAGTATATTTCTTTTACCTTAATGAACTCTGGGATAGTCTAATTACTGCTTCTATGAGCATATAATCATCATAAATAATAATAACAACATACTGTGATATAAGAATAGAACATTATCAGTAAAAACCACTGTACCACTGTATGCTTTTATAAAATAAATCTACTCTATGATGGAATGCTATGAATCCATTTAGGATTATCTTTCATTCCCTAAATGATATTCATCTTCATACTTAATATTCTAGTGAAGAAAGTTTTCTAACTGATCTACGTAACTACGGCTTACATTTTTCGAAAACCATGACACTCGTGTTGTAGTTTAAATGTTCTGGATACCTAACTCATCACAAACGGATTGCATGATTTATTCTGACATAAGCATGTACATTCTGTTTACATAATTCGTATCATCACTCCCACACTATCCTTTTCATGTTCGGAATTTAAGCATTTATTATTTTTTAATTTTTTTGGTTTTTTTTTATTACAGCTTGATTCTACACAGTACTTTTTGGTAGAAGTATGGAATTTTCAGCATGTGATATCGGTAGCCCAAATTTTGTTGGCCGACCATAGATATCAGGTGTGCGTCGGCAGGGGATCGAACCTCGGACCATGTGCATGGTCGGCGAGAATCCTGACCACTGTGCCACCGACGCAGTCATACTACTACTAGGTGTGAACTAGTTGGTTTGACTGACAGTATCATTCACCTGGTCGAAAAATCTGAGTATCTGTGAACAATACATAACGACAATGTAAGTTTTCTATCCTAATTGAATAACGTTACAAATTTTACTCGGATGCTTAAAATATCTGACTTCGTAAATCCACTTCTGGTAACCAAAATTAAATGCTTGAATGTCTACCGTTTGGTAGTCATCTTTTTTCAACATCTTGAAAATGTGACCATATTCATAAGTAGAGTGGGCAAATTTCGGACGTGACAAAAACTATAACATTTAGTCTATTCGATATTAAATCGCATCAAACACACTGGTTGATAAGTTCTATAAGAACAATGAAATAGAAACCAGTAGCATATAGGCAGAATATACAGCTCACTATACTTATCTATGCAAATTGGATTCATTTTTATCACTTTGCAAATGAGCTGAGTAGACTTACACGTTAAACACAAATCGCTTTTTTATTTCTACTTTATTCATTGCGCCATTAACATCAAACTGTTGAAGCAATTTATTTCAACGGTCTAACTAAGAAGACGAAAATATTCTGAGATTCAGTTCTTAATATTTTTTTTGAAGCATAATAGAATTTAATGAGGTAATGAACACATGACTGAATGAGATGGATATGAAAAATCCCATTTTTTCTGATATGTTTGGTATCTCAAGATATATATGTATATATCATTATATGCAGCGAAACAAGCATAAGCAAATGTATTTCGTTAGAATCTCTGTACTAAAGATTTGAGATATAATTCTGTCTTGAAAAAAAATACTGTGGAAAGGAAAAGGTAACCATCGAAATGGGAATACAGTCAGTATTCTATCAATTATGCTGGGTTGCCTTGTTGGTACTTGTATGCCAAGTTGAGTTTTTAGTAGAGTGAGTTTAAAATCTGAAATATATTTGTTGATTTTCATTGAACAAGGCTGAATATACGTCTATTAAATGCTCTTCCCGATGAACAAGGTGAACCAGATAGGTCTTATTTAAACACATTTAACTGAGGACTTCTTTTACCTACCTTGGAAGCATCGTTTCAACTACAGGCGGAACTGACGAGGATATCAAAGCAAGAATCCGAAAAGCAAGACAAGCTTTCACTACTCTCAAGTCTGTGTGGAGGTCAACAGCATTCAACATGAAAAATAAGATCCGGATTTTCAACTCAAATGTGAAGTCAGTGCTACTATTCGGATCAGAGACTTGGCGCGTCATAAAGAGCACCTCAAACAAACTACAGACCTTCATCAACAGCTGTCTCCGCTCAATAGTCAAGATCAGATGGCTGGCCAGAAAAGACTAGCAACAGGGATCTCTGGGAGAGAACCAACCAGGAACCGATTGTGAAACAAATAAGCAGGAAGAAATGGAGGTGGATTGGCCATACTCTGAGGAAACCATCAAGTGACATCACTAGACAAGCCATTGCTCGAGTGGAACCCGAAAGGGAAGACGCGAGTTGGTCGTCAGCGCAAGGGTGACTTGGAGGAGGTCATGTGAAGAGGAGATGAAAACGTGTGGGCAGACATGGAGCCAGGTGAAGACTCTAGCAGAGAACAGAACGCAATGGAGACGCACGGCTGAAGCCCTATGTTCCTGTAGGAATTAAAGGATACAATAATAATAATAACTGAGGACTTCTGATAAACACCTAAGTCACTGAATATTGATATGTTCGTCAAATAAATTATACAACGTAGACAGTTCAATTTGATGAAGATGATATTAATTTTTTCACCACTTTTAGGATGAATAGAAAGGGAATGGAGTTATAAAATTTTGGTCTAACAGTTACTTTTGTAGTGTCTGTAATGTTTGCAATGGAAGTGTCTCACTAACTGTTATTTCCAGTAAATGAATTTACTTCAAATTTTATTATGACACTTTTTCCTAAATGGACAGTTTATAAGCGCACCAGTGTACTGATATTTTGTAACAATAGTAATTACGTTTAATGCACTCTGACAGTGTATATGTTGAAAAATCGGAGAGAATCCTTATAATTTGTCATAAAATAACTACAAAGGCATGTGTAAGGTTTAACAAGGTATTTAGCTTTAATGCTTCAATAATAATTTTTGATTACAACTGGTATTTTTGTTTTAATATGGGTTAAGTGTGTGTAAGTTTTTGTCATTCGTAAAAGATTCTTATCGAACAGTGCAAGGATAAGTAGTGATTAACATTATTTTTGATGGTCGTATGATGCAATACAGATACCCGAAAAACAAAGTTATCTCCTATGCTAAAAGTCAGCCTAGTCTAGCTAAGAGAAGTCAAGAGAAATGTAAGATCTGAAACTATTAAAATCAAAAGCGACTTAATTTTATAAATGGTTATTCACTCAGGTACTCAGTAAGAAAACTTACCTATTGCATCTCCTTTCCATGAAACCATCTGTTTAATTACTTTCTCTGTCACTTTATTTGATTCACTCAACTCGTGAAAATCAATAAATTTATCAGGAAGGCAACCATACACTGTAATTTTGTTAAAATAAACATAACTGCATAAGTCAGATCCAAGTATATCCGGTAGACTGACGTATCTCTGGATCAAATCATTTGACCGGTTAATAGACTGTACTACACAAATTCTGTTCACAAGTGCATTCACCACATTTATTTCACCTTTTATTTTGTATCTGCCCATTGTTAAAACTGCATTTACTGAATTCGAGTCTACCAAAGACATGACTGTGTTTCGTAGAAAACATACTGAAAAATCTATAACCGATTGATGCCGCGTGAAATCGTAAGAAGCGTAAGCTGATAATGTTGGTTGAATTGATGAACCTAACAATAGAAAATGTAATTATTTATGAAAATTGTGAAAAATGTTTTTTTCAAAAGTCTATTGCTAATTAGTAATAACCTTTGTGTTACGTATGCCGTTTGCTTCATTTTTGGACAGTTGAGTTAATCTTGTTTAAAGCTTCATCTATTAGTGAAGTACTTAAATTGATGTTGATATTTTACTTATCTATTCTAAACAAAATTAATAGTGTAGATTTTAGAAAGTGATAACCATAAAGTGTATCACTGTGTAAACTGTCATGAAACTGTACCAAAGTATTGTTCTAATGAAATAATTAGAAAGTTCATTATCCATATGTATCTTCATTTGGTGCCGGTTGATTTGAATTTAAACTACAGGTTATAAGAAACTCCATGAACTGAGAGAATCTCTGATCAACTGATTAACAAACTTAAGTAAACGCATCATTTCAACAGCAGTAGCAGTAGCAACAGATGAAAAACTCCCAACATCTTTGGTTTTACAATAACTAAAAAACGAACTTGATGATGGTCACAAACAGATATATTACGAAATGAAAGCATTTGAGGAATAAATTATTAAAATACGAACTTATTTACGAAATGAATGCATCGAAGCTACACAGAAAATACAAATATATTTACTGCTGTCTCACATGAGTATTTTGAAACTAATGGCATTCAGTTTTCGTTTAAGTGACTACACTTCTATCTATCACACCTACTGCGACCCATCTTAGACATGTCGAGTTCTCCATACCATAAAATCGCAAAATGGATTACGGAGGTTCTTATGCCTGTAAGAGACTCATTATCAAATCATTCTGTAAAACGTTGATTTGATCTGACAGATATGCTAGACACCTTGAACATTAAGGAAAAGGTTATGTGTTCAGCTGACATATTATCTTTATTCACCAATGTTCCTATTCATGAAACTGTTGATTTCATTTGCGGTTATATCACAAGTAATGGGATAAACTTACCTATTCCTGTGACTTACATCAGAGACATCATCTTAATGTGTACAGAAAATATTAGATTCACCTTCCAAGAAAAGGCATACAAACAAATCGATGGTGTTGCGATGGGGAACTCTCTTGGGCCCCTGTTAGCAGATATAGTCATGTAGAAATTGGAAAACAAATGCAAGGTATGCTTGGAGAATTGATGCTATATAAATGTTATGTAGATGATACTCTCATTATTGGTAATAACAGTTAATGTATTGAAAACTTTATCACCCTATTTAATCATATTCATCCAAATATCCGAGTGACTTCTGAACCCGAAACAAATAACAAACTAGGTTTCCTGTATATTACAATGACCAGGAGAGATGATGGAACGATTCAGCGATCTATTTTTCGTAAAAAGACATGGAGTGGACAATATCTTCATTTCACCAGTTTTGTTCCTATCCAATATAAACGTTCCCTAGTGAAATGTTTGTTCTCAAGGGCCCGAAAAATATGCACGAGTGACACATTGATGGACGAGTTTCGACATATACATTCAGTTTTATTAGCTAGTGGTTATCCAGAAAACTTTATCACTTGTCACAGCAAAGAAAGACCACATCTCGAAAAGACAGCTTCTGTACCAAAGAAAGCTATCTTTATTAACCTACCATTCAAGGGTGACCAGATTATGCAGTTGACAGCTCAAAGACTTCGGTCAGCTATCAAACGCACATTCTACGCCACATCTCTTTTTCTCACATGCCGAACATTATCGATCCCTGTACCTACGACTAAAGCATCAAATTCTGTGAACTCTACTTCAGACTGTATCTACAAGTTCACCTGCAGCTGTGGTGACATCTATATAAGTAGAACCAACAGAATGTTCCAATGTCGTCGAAAAGAACATGTTCCAAAATGGCTACTTAATCATATAGAAAATCCCAATGCGAGTAATCTGAATAAAAATTCAGCATCATCCATTGCAAAACACTTATTAATGTCAGGTCACAAAATTAATATTAATGACTGTTCCACAATTATTTCACATAACTCTAATTCAAGGTTATTGAAGGTGATGGAAGCCCTTCGGATTCATCACATACAGCCTAAACAGTGCGTACGAAAAACAATAGACTTCAACCTTCGCCTACCATGGACAACATGACCTATCTAAATATGACTGGTCATTAGTATGTACTTTTGTTTTTTATTTAACTGAGTAATTATCATTATTGTTAACCATGTTAGTAGTAAAGCGGTTGTAAAGAAACTACGAAATGATATCATCTCGCGAAATTTGTCTTCTAAATGCCTTACTCTCACCTACTGTGAATAAATTTTGCTGCATACATTGATTTTCAGTGCACACGTTTATAACTAGGTAGACTCATTGATAGTTGTGTGAAAGCTGTTTGACGTGAGTGAACTTCTGTTTTCAACATTATTCTAGATTTTTGGCTATGTTCCATGAGTTAAATGGGTTCGAGTTTAGGTTGACTAATGATTCACCAACACACCATATATCATAACCAATAAAGCTGTTCAAAAGTGTATAGGAACGTGATCACGGATAGTGAAATCAAATCCAAGGGTTATACTGTGTTAACTGCCAAAATAAGAAATTCATTTTAAAAGATTACTTATTCTTCAATAGAGGTATTGAAAGGAATTCGAAATTCTAAATCTAATCGATATTGCAAACAAGACAACTTTAATAAAACTTCATTTTATTCTTGTTTGTGTTTAGTGCGAAAATCAATAATTAAAGAACTGTGATCGAATGTACATATGCTCAGTGATTGAAATTTGTGTGCAATGAAGCGTGAAACACAAGAACTGGAGCGGATATCAAGACATAGTCATATGCTAGTCATCAATCTTTAGTATTATTTATTTTCTAATGGTCCTTTATCTCAGACAAACTGTAGAAAATTATGCTTAAATAACAGTTTTTGATATTTATTTTCATCTCTCTATTACTAACACTTTTCCTTAAAATACTGAGCATGCAACACATTTAACACGATCTAGTTATCTTGTCAAAAAATCTAAACATTTATTAAAACAGTTTTTAAAACATCTACCCTAAAGGAAGGATTTAAAGTGGTCGCTGTATAATCGCTTGATGCATATAGACTGGTTAACCCACGTGTTTCATCAAAAAATATGTACAAACATCTACTTTTCCTATCCACATGTTGTGTCAATTATCATCACCTTCCTCTTACTTATTTCATTCTACTAACTAATACATAGAAGTGACAGTGAATTTAAACATTTTTTCTGGTCATTCTGATAACTGTTGACAGGAACTAGGTTTTCTTAATTACTTCTTTTCATCGTAGGAAAGAAAGAGAGGAAATAATAGCAATCGGATGAGTACCTAATTGTCCTCGCGAATAGTGCCTTCAGTTGTGGTTATTTCAGTGTGAAGCATGCTTCATAAACAGTCTTCATCTAAGAGCTATTGAGGAAACAAAAAGGTAGTTTAGCAAAGAATAGGAAATTTCCTAACAGAGCTTCTTCGCTAAACTGCTTGTTTTGTATTTACATTAAATATGATCTACAATATTTTAAAATCATTGTAATAATATTACTAGTTATGGATATTAGAGATTTTCGGCACGCTCAGCAGAAACACACTTAGGAGGGGTTAAGAAATACGGTAATAGCTTCAATATCTGAACGCATGCAAGTGAAAATAAAAGTGAACTTCATTTAACTGATCTCAGTATAGCTGATAAATAACTTGTAGTTTTTAGCATGCTTCAGCATAAGGATGCCTGCCATGTCATTTTAAAGCATCACATTACTGGTTTCTAGTTTTCAAAATGTTGTATATAGCTGAAATTCTAATGCGATGTGAGCACTCACAAGACTAGTTGGACATAGTGCTGTCAAAAAAGAGTAGAGTTAAAACATCACATACTTTTACATAATACTTTTCAGGGTAAGTTAAGTACTTAAACAGTCAGTCCCTTTATATAAATTTGGATAGCGTTATTAGAAGACGGAGATTATCTGAAAAATGTGATATATTTGCGCAATATATTTCGAACAATCTGATCACACATTTACTTGCCAAATCAAATTATATGTTAAGTAATATTAAATTTGAGGTACTTAGTGAAATTCATGTATCATAGGTGAAAGTAGGTCACCCTAAATCAAGCAGTGAATAGGCAAAGTGTTAAATGCGAAATTCATGAATACTCCATCAAAATTATGACCGCCATAATAGCATCTGATATGAATAAGTCACGTCTCTATACTTTGTTTTCAGAAGAAACTAAACTTTTAGGATACTTTTATTTTTAAACGAGGAAAACTTCAGATTATTATTTGCATCTTCTCACCAGTACAATCTTTTGCAAAATATGGGTAGTATCCTGAACTCATCCTCACACCAAATGATTTGTCGTTTGAAGACTGCTTACTTAACCGCTGATTCTATTTTCAAAGGATTTCGAATGGAAAATGTTTGCATGAAAACCATTAATATGTAAAGTATATCGGACTTTTGTACAAATACTTGGTATTTACTGTTAGAACTCACTGTTGGACAATCCAGGTTCCAAATTATATGCGTATATACTGTTATGGGGATACCTATTCTGGGAAAATAATTCAAAAGAAGTATTCCATTTTAGTGACGTCCAAATTAGCTGTTGATTAGCAAGAAGTTCTATAGAAATGCCAGAATCGCTTAGTACTGATGGTTTTGATTCCAACAACCTACAAATAACAGATAATGAGTCTTTTTGAAACCTGGCATTGTTTTGACGATGAAAACAATATAAATATATCTGTATATTACATTATTGTTAATCCAAGTCAATAATGGACATAAAACAAGTCAGTGCTTGTTTGAAAAACTCTTATTCACCACACTTCTTTGAAGAGGTGAATAATCTCTTAGTGAAATAGTTTCTTATTGCAGCCAAGTGATAACTTCTGACGGTTTTAATAATCTGCTTTTTCGCGGTAGCTGCTGAGACAGAAGTTTTCTGCTGAATTATTCTAAATACTTTTGTTTCAAAATAAGTTATCAACACAAATGCAGTTAACTTGTTTAATTCTTACACTGGAGACCACAAAACACCCAAGGTTATAGCAATAAACCCTAGTTATCACCTGCGCTGTTTTTACCAATAAATATGTCACACATGCAGAAACTGAATGTATGTGGATACATAGAAAAATTGTATCAATTCGGCAAGTGAATCTTAACTCCAGAAATATAAAAGTATAGGATTTAATGGAATAATGTTTACATGAGGAAAACTTGGCAGTCATAAAATTATGTACCGTTGTTTGTTCCTACGCTTAATAGTGTTTGTCATTCTATATTGCCAACATGCTGTTTCTCTAATGACTATACACTTATGCATATTAGTGTTGAGTCATCTAATTTTTTCCCTGCTAAACTTTATTATACACTATAATCAAAATGTCTTCTCGGTAAAAAAGGAAGGCAAAAAGACAGTTTATTTATTCAACAGCTCAGAGAATTACATTTTAACATTATATAGAAATCCATTTCACAATTTACAAATCAATCTTCAGTTTTCACAAATCGGTTGGTTCGAAGTGATTTGACTCTCTGAGCTCAGTTGAACCGGGTAAATTTTGGATGAGACTGGCTTAATGCAGGCGAAATGGTCGTCCAATGCTTAGATCATTGCGATAATCTGGCTAGCAAACACCTACTACAAGAATTGAGAACATTTATTTCCCGTTACGAATTTAAAACAAGCAATAAAGGTTAATTAAGCAGGATTTAATGAATTCATCAAATTTCGGTAGAACTCGTCAGCTGTATACTCTACATACACGGATATATATACTTTTGAAATTACATTGAGAGATATAGGACTGATAAGTAAACAAACTACATTGAATTAGTCATGCAGAAAGACAGGTGCGAATGTTTTCCAGGTCATGTTCAGTTAGATAAGGGGACAGAGAGTATGGAAGATCAAAATTAAGATAAATTGCATTACGCTTCAATTACATCACTTAGATAAACAATTAGACATTAGAGAATTTAACAAGAATTGCAACCAGAGGGATGCTAGTAGTAATAGTTATAATAACAATAATAATAATAGTGTTGAAGTGAGTTAAGATAATGCTACTGATAAATGATAGTTTTAAATGAATCAAGAATAATAATAATGAGAATAATAATAAAAATAATAATAAGAGGTAGAATTATAAGTAAAACGTATTACCGTGGTAGATTCAGAGTCACGACCATCTCCTTTTGTACACAGAAACCTGGTTTGTAAACTCGAATTGCACAGGCCTCTGCAATTGCAAGCATCTTCTGGTTTCTTTGTCTGCTGACAATAGTGAATGACTTGACCGTGTCAATATCATATCCGTAATCCACAAGATGCTTTGTTATTGATGATTTTCGCACTTTGCACTCAGCTGTTTTCAACCATTTTCGCAAATGCTCCATAATGAGAGTAGACAATCGCCTTTCCGTACGTTCTATTTATTTGCTTCCACAAACATACTCAAATCCTTTATCAGTAGCATTATCTTAACTCACTTCAACACTATTATTATTATTGTTATTATAACTATTACTACTAGCATTCCTCTGGTTGCAATTCTTGTTAAATTCTCTAATGTCTAATTGTTTATCTAAGTGATGTAATTGAAGCGTAATGCAATTTATCTTAATTTTGATCTTCCATACTCTCTCTCCCCTTATCTAACTGAACATGACCTGGAAAACATTCGCACCTGTCTTTCTGCATGACTAATTCAATGTAGTTTGTTTACTTATCAGTCCTATATCTCTCAATGTAATTTCAAAAGTATATATATCCGTGTATGTAGAGTATTCAGCTGACGAGTTCTACCGAAATTTGATGAATTCATTAAATCCTGCTTAATTAACCTTTATTGCTTGTTTAAACACCTACTAGTTGGTGTGAGTGTTTTGCACAACCCCATTCAATTCAATCAGTCAGAAGTTTGCAGTTTTATGAATTGGAAATGAATGCATGATGGCACAGAAAATAATGCAGCCTAATTTGAGACTTTATAAAGGAAATCGTAAACTGAAGTATTCAAACTTCTCTGCAACCAACCTCTTAAGCAATCTTTACCTTTTTTCACATAAAACTAAATTGTAACTATATGTGTAACTCTTTTTTAATAATTCCTTCTTTTTAAAATATCTCGTTAATGTATTTATGAAAAATATGATGAAGCTTTAACTGAAATGTATACATAACAGATATTTGTATGTTGAAATGGAAACACGGAGATTTTTAATAAAAAAACCAGTAAGATAAATGTACTCATTTTTATCATATGATGCTGGAGTTAAAGCAATACGGACACAACTGTGCCTGATTCCTTATCATATTTAGATAACAAAATGACAAATAAATTATTCTTATTATTTAAAGTGATGAATCCCGTAGTTAGCCAGTAAATCATATATAAAATGTAGTTAATTTAGCGTGAAATAGAATAATTGGTTTTGTAGTAAATGGTTTTATGCATATGCAACAATCCCAATGAATGCAAAATACCAACATGGAGAGCAGCTAATTGCTTAAATGATAATTGCTTAATAATGTTGTAATTCAGTGCAAAAATCAATAAACAACATCAAAAGATGACTATCTTAATTAGGTAGGCTACTTGAAGATTATTATTATTATCGTGGTCTTAGGTGCATTTTGCACAAATATTAAATTTTCCATAAGATTAGCTGACTTACCAGGATGTGTACACTGGGCAGAAAGTTAAACTAGTATTTTCATGTTTTATACATTTATCTGAGTCTTTCTTCAACCCAGGCATTTTCGAAATATTTGTCGAATTTTCAACATGATGCAAATCCTTTTGAACAATTTGATAACTTTCAACTGTGTAGTAGAATCGATTCAAAGAATCAAAGTCCTGTATCAGGAACTTCGGTACACTGTTGGATGCATGATAATTAATCTTTTGAATGAGTGACACTTTTTCAGAATATTCTAATTTCTTTGAAAAAATGGCTGCCGAAGAGTCAAGGTATGAAGCAATCCATGTTAAATGATTATATTTTGAGTCTACGACAAAGTCGATTACGGGAGATTGTTGAATCAGGGTTGGATAGCCATATACTACATTTTCCAAACTGTTACCGTAGATATCATGTTGATAAGGACTAAGAGTCCATCTATAAATCTTTGAAAAACAAAATATTTTTACTGAAGCAAGAACTTATTAAATTTTGCAATATTTTTTAATGTAAATGACCTAGTTTCCCTTTTACTTCAGTACTAGTCAGTTTGCTGAAATCTCAGAGCCTATGGAGCAAAACATTCTTTTGAGTCAGAAAAATAAATTGTTAGCAGCTATCAAGGTTTAAGTTTTTCGATTGAAAACTTCAAATATGAACTCAAGTATCCTTATGTTGAATAAATGCGAATTCAACGAAAGTTGAATTATGCTATAGAAGGGTTGTTTACACTTCTACGTTATTAATAGCAAGTAGTTTTGACACGGTACCTCAAACACAATGAGTTCAGTCTATTAATAAATATATAGATAGATCCAACAGGGAAATCCAAATCACATTTGATTTTTTAAGGTTGTTATTGAGGGAACAGTGTGACATTCAAATAATTCTTATCTCTATGCCATCAAGTTAGCCGAAACAGCTAATTCTCAGAACGGTAGAATTAACACGAATATAGCAGCTGTCCGACCTGCACGAACTTGCCTGTATATCGGATTTAGAATGATTCAGGCAGTTTTTACTGCCTCAAAAAATATGCAACTTATGAATCAACTTCCAAATGTGTGAGAACATCAAACCACGTATGTGAAACTGTGTTTTTATTAGATCATATAAGGGAATACACGATAATATGGATTACTGAAATGACTGTACAGTGAGTGCAAACATGGCCAAATTCTTAAAACCTATTTTATATCCTGTGTGGTCTTGCCTAACTCTGAAAAATTCTAAAATGATATATTTCATTCCCAATAAAGGTACTGAAGCTTACAATTCCAGCCAAGAAATTTTTATTTAAAGGACACTATATCAATAATGATATTGCATAGGAATTCACTTTGAAAATGATCTTCTCTTTAGCTACAGGTTAAATTAAATTCATCTTTCATTAAAGAACGGTTGATGGGAAATCTTAAGTCACTATGCAGCCTGAAATTATTACTATTATTCCCTTGCAATCCAAGTGCAGCAATGGGGCTTCAACAACGCACCTTCACTTTGCTCTATTCTCTACTGTCCTCTTCACCTGGCTGCACGATTTACCATAATCTCTCACCTCCTCTTCTTCGCCACACGACTTCCTCCATATCACCTTCGGAAGACACACTCGACGCTTTCCATTCGGATTCTACTCGAGCGACGGTCTGATCTTCAGTATGGAGCCAGCGAAGGGGGCATGCGTTGATAAAAGTCTGCAGTGGCCTGTTGCAAATCCAGTTCGTGAAACACTTCGCAAGTTTTTGACCTGTATACAAGGACTGACTGACTTCACATTTGTGTTGAAAATCCGAATCTTGTTCTTCTTGCTGAGGTGGAGTGCAGAAGATTTCCAAACTGGTTCCGGATTGGAGAAGGCGTATCTTGCCTTCCTGATCCTTACTGACTTTGACATCTTCATCTGTTCCGAGTGACTGTAGTTGACACGCGCTTCCTGGATGGATAAACGAAGGAAATAATTTCTGTCGAATTCCTCTCGTTGCTGGTGACTGGTGCTGTAGCCATTGTTGGTGGTGATTGCTTACCTTCATCACCTCCGTTCTCACCTTCTTTACATTCACTTAGAGTCCTGTATTTGCCACCAGCCTCTTCCGCCAGTTTGTTGCTTCTCACTTTCTAGTCTTCGAGTTTGTGTGATATGAAACATAAATCAATCACACGTGAAGTCCAGATCTTCTAGAGTCCTATTTTCGGTGATCCAGCGTGCCCCTGTCTCCCCACCTCCCACTCACAATCTGACGCAAAATCCAGTCAGTCCAACACAGCTAAGAATGTCATCGGTGATATCAGATAGCCAGCTTGTCTTACTACTGTGTGCTTTTCGAGCGCCTCTCTGAGTTTTCCGTTGTGGATCACCTGATTGACACGTTGCATTTTCATATAGCCAGGTGTTGAATGATGTTGATGAATACTTGAGCACTGCAAGCTGTAGTGTTGGATCAGTTTCCAAATCACTTCTCGGTCAGCGCTGTCTGGTGAAGGCGTTTTCGAAGTGGATGAAGTTGAGGCAGAGAGAGGTTTGACTGCCATTCCATGCTTTGTTCGATGATGACGGTGATGATAATGCGTAGAGCTGTAATTTGATCAGCAAATGGTTTGTGTTTCCTGAATCCAGCCAACTTGTTCCAGTGGGGTGGAGTTCTGCATCCAGTACATATTTTATTCTTTCCACGATGACGCGAAATAGTATTTTACTCAGCGTGGACAAGAGCACTACTCTACGCCAGTCAATTCTTGCCGAGGCTTAATTCGCCCTTCTTTGGTATCTTGACAATATAGCCAGCCTTTCTTATAATCGGTAGGCATCTTTCCTCGCTTCTAAGGCTTTTGCACTTATGGCGTGAACACATCTTCCACAGTCTCTGCCGAGTCCGTTTTCAGTGCTTCAAATGAAATTCCGTTTGATGCTGCTGCCTTTCCTGTTGGCCTTCAGTAGCTTGGTCGCACTCAGGACTTCTGCTTTCGTTGGAGGATTTGTGTTCCCTGGCAGGAAGGTGTGCGTGTGCTGTTGGTGTTGGTGTATTTCTGAGCGAGTTGCAGGTGATGGTCGACTCAAGGGGCTTCGAAGTGATCAGCCCATTGTTTAATCTGTTTCTTCTCTTTGGTAATCAGGTTCCCTTGAGCATCTGTTATTGGCTTTATCCTCCGAGTTGTTCTTTTCCCGGGTAGAGAACTGGTTCTCTGATATAATGTTCTGAGATCAGTTTTGCCCACCTGATGCCTGCCTGTCTGCCTGGCTGTATTCATGTTCTGCTTCGGATGCTGGCCAGTGTGTTGTGTGGTTGATTTTGTCTTTCACAGCACTCTTCTCCACTTCTGTATTCAGTGCAGTGTACATTGAAGTCAGCTTCTCCTTCTGTTGTCCCTCCTTGCATTCAGTCATCTTCTCTTTCACCATCCTCCACTCCTCTCCTCTCCTCGATTAGCTTCCAGGTAGGTGTCCATCGAGAATCATTCCTTGTCTTGTCTCTTCTTTTTTCCTAGAACGATGGTACATGTTTCCTTGAACATGACACTCAGTGAGTTCCAAAGCTCTTTCTCACAGCTTTCCTGACTGGTAACATGTTGTATCTCCGACTGTGCTCCAATATGATCTGTACTGAAAGTATCCTTTGTAGTATTGTCCTTCAGTTTCTGAATGTTGAACTTAAATTAAAGTGGCCTATCTCCAGTTGTTCTGAAGGCGCTTAGCTCGACCTTGAATGTTCTCGAACTAGATGATGGTCTGACTCCATGTCTATTCCTCTTCTCAACTTTGTGTCCAGTAAGCTGTGTCTCCTCTTCCTTGAGCAGCATTGATTTGAAGTCTCTCTGTTTTGTAGTGTGTCCATCAGGCGCAACCCATCTCTCTGTCATTTTGTATATCCTTGTGTCTTCTACGCTGCCTCCTATCGCAGAAGTCTGTGAAGATTTCTCCGTTTTCATTAATTTCTTCTAGCAAGAGACTCTCGACCTATGATGAATTAGTTCTATTCCTGCATTGCATGCTCACAGTTTAGCTGGCATTCATATCGCCTACAATGATTTTGATGTCGTCATTCGGGATGTTATCCATTTCTGTTTGTAGTTATCTACAGAAATCTTCTCTCTTCTCTTGTTCCGCGTTGTTTGCAGCACTGTGCGCAGTATTGGATAATTGTGACCTATCTTGCTTCCTCTTGAGTTGAACGTTGCTGTCATGATCTTGGATGAGGAGATTGGTTCCCACTGTATTAGGGCTTTGGCTGCCACTCCTGACATCATGATATCCACTCACTGTCTCCGTGTCCTCGTGGATTACTGACAATTTTGACAATCCACATCCATTCCATCTTCACTCATAGGTTCCCAGTACTTCTATGGCATATCTTCTCATTTGTTTAGCTACCTGAGCAGCCCTCTCAGCCAGCCTCGTAAGTTTAACGGACGTTTCACGTCCCCCCTCTTATTCTCGCATTCATTGAGAGACTACACATCGGCTGACTGACTGGCTTCCTGAAGGCTGGCTTTCACCAGCCCGCTGTGTCATTTTGCCTCTGTGATTCGAGAAAAGAATAAGTTTTTTTAATATTTTATTGTATTTTCAATGTATTTCTTGTACGTTGAAGTTTTTGTAGCAGTCTGATTGGTTTCGTTGCGTGGAATCGCTAGCCTTACACTCAACCTCGCGTCTTTATCCGTGCTTAGGACCGAATAGTAAACCAGTGAGCTAATAAACTGGATGAGGTTATGGAGCCCGAAAAGTGAGACGTTTGTAACGTCAACGGGGTCAAATTTGTTCATTTCTTCATGAAGTCGGGTTTAAGTAATTTGGTATTGCGTTTATTACTCGGTGGATACTTATTATGGAGGAAGTGGTAAGTTAGTATGAGCAGCAGCTTGTATTTTAAGATATTATTTCTGAGAAGCTTGAGGGCTCTTGTTCTCATGACAAAAATATGTTGTAGAATACCGAAGTCTAGAACTTTTGGAAAGTCATCCTTTCTCTTGGAAAACACAGAAAATTCAACAAGAGTCCTGGGATAATATGTGTTAAAGAAAAATTGGTAAAAATGGTAATCACTAGAAGACGTGTTTGCAGAAGAACCTGAAAATATTCATATTCACTGTAAATTTGTTTTCGGAATTTCACTATTTTTATCAGACTCCTTAAGTTCTGTTACTTACTGTGATTCGGAAGAAGCAATTAGCTACATTATTATTATTATTAATAGTTTTTATAATTTCATTAGGTTCCGAGTGGAATATAGGGCTTCATGTCACTCTTGATCACCCCACTCACCATTTCCCAGTCGGGTTCCACTCAAGCTCTGGCCTGATGCACAATGTCACTCAACTGTCTCTTCAGCGTGTGTTCCATATATCTCCCTCTATTCGTTGGGTTATAGGTTCTTGCCTGGTTCTTGTCCAGATTGTCTTATTGCTAATTCTTCCACTATCGAGCGGAGGCAATTGTAGAGAAAATCTGCAACCTGTTGCATATGTTTTTGATGACACGCGCGCCAAGTCTCTGAACGATATAGACGTACCAAGTTGACTCATGTTAAAATTCGGGATCTCTTTCTTTGTGCTTGGTGAAGTGGATTTCCAAACTGATTTCAGATTTATGAAGGTTAATCTCGCCTTTCAGATCCTGCCTTTGAAATGTTCATCCGTAGTTGAAACGATGCTGTCTAAATAAGTGAAACAAGTGACTTCCTTCAAATTCAAAGTATTTAGTTCTTTTTGCTGAAAGTTTGGTCATCTTCACTATCTCTGTCTTCCCCATGTTCGCTTCAAGTCCTATCTTCGCTACCTCTTCTGCCAATTTGTTGATTTTCTCTTTTTGTAGTTTCTAAGGCTCTACTAATTTTTACATTCTTTAAATAATTAAATCGATTATGAAGCACTAGCAGAAATTAATTCTGATCAAACTTTACACGCATAATAAATTCACTTACTCTCACTCCTAAATTGCCATGTTCAAAGTATAACAGAAGGTGTAGCGGAAATTACTCGTGAATCGATTTGACCTTACATATTCTAAATTTGATGTCCAGAATAGTAGATAAAATATACAGAGTCATTAATCTGCGGCTCATTTTTAGTAAACTCGATAAGACAACTGATCTAAACCTGACTATATGAAAACTGTTTAAATCCATGAAGAAATTTCATCTTCAGAACTGAATAACCGGCCTGGACTGTAACAAAAACAACCGCAGTGCCATTCACCATCAAGCTAGCCCTGCATCTTGGCTCTTACCTGTCCGCATCAGTTTCCATGCCAACCAGCTGATATTACTATGGATGTCATTTTTAAATTCGTTTTCTAATGCAAGCGTCCGGGACTGATATTCTGCTATAAATTAAACTCAACTTCCACATACTTTAGTTACTAATGATAGTTAAATCCCAATTCAGAATACTTAAGAAACTAAAAATATTTTGACTCTCCAGATTTGTTACGTATACGGATTTTCGAATAAATTAAATTATAAAACACTACTCTACCCATTTGGTACTTGGACTGGTGAAGTAAAGATCAGACCACTGTCTGTCCAAGACAATACGAGATGCTTTGATGTTGGTTAAATGTGCCCAGTTAACAGAAGCAAATATTGTAGAGTTGCTAATTTTCACTTGACTCCATGGGAAATTGTTTGCCAGTGTTAGTGCGGAAGAAATAGATTTATCATTGATTAAACCCAAATATACGTCACCACTTTTCAGAAGGACCCATATCTGACTCTTATGAAGTATGACATCTGTCAGCCAGAGAAAAAAATGAAAGCAAAAGGGTGGAAACTAATCGTTACAGCATTCAGTCGACTGACAGTTAAAGATACATCTGAGCCAGGTTAATGTGAGAATATAGTTTATTTTCATTTAAGTGACTATTGCATCATTAGTATGTAGGCACATTGAAATGATTTTATTTTTAAAGATAAACTAAACTTGTAATACGGTTTATTGTTTCGATATGACAAACAGGTTTACGGGGTTTATGGGTAATGTCTATGGAATTATTGTTTTATATAGTTGGCAATAACATTTTAACCTTAGAGAAAATGCACGAAATAAATGGAAACTGCACTCTATAATTAGATATGTAGTTGGGCCAGATTAACCATTTTTAAATATTTATAACTTTGAACAATTCACAAAAACTTTGTTCCTTTGAAATTAACCACCTTAAACCTGAAGTTCAGTTTGACAATCTGCACATGCATCGTTCTGCTAATTTAATTGACCAAGCAAGTCGACTAAAACAATTCTAGCCTGACTTTAAGGTCCGTATTGTAAGCAATACTTGATAACTGGAACCTCAAATAAGTGATAAGTTAGAGTTTCCAATGTCTGACTATGAAAAAAGAAAATTGACTTGTTTTTAAAGATTGTTCAGACAACAGCTGATTACTATGGATCACTTAACATAATACAGCCTTTTGAAATCACTAGATAACATTGGAGATTAAACTTGTCGTCTTTGCACTGTAACTCATATGAAATAAATGTTATTTAAAGTAAACAATATCTGAATGCCTTGTATTTTTTCATTCCAGTTCAAAACCCCCTACGCAGCCTATCCAATCAATAAGAGACTAGATAATTCTGTTTTCGAACAACCGTCAAACAAAATTTATATCTTAGTGTGTGACCTCATAAACAAATGTTTACAGACAAACTATAGGCATCAAAATAGCGATTTTAGGATATTGAGCAAATCGAATGAGCTGTGTTCATGCTAACAGTGTGAACAAAACGTAATCCTGATTGTTTTTCAGGAAGGTTTGTAGGGAATAAATTTGTTTTTACGAGATGATTATGGATTGATATCAGCTAGAGAACCATCGAAAAAACCAGAGAGTACTGGACAGCTGTTTCATCCTAGTTTGGGAACCATCCTGGGTTCGAACCCCAGGGGGTGCGTACTGTAGATGGTTCCCAAACTAGGATGAAACAGTTGTCCAGTACTCCTTGGTTTTCAATGGTTCTCTAGCTGATATCAATCCGTAATCAACTCGTAAAAAATATATAATTATATATAAATATGTATATGATTAACTCATCTAGATAATATTTTCTCAGTACATTGTGTTATCAAAAAAGGCGATTACAGACATTGGGTGTTTTCTGAAGTAAAGGATCACCCTTCAATAAACCAAAATGTATCCACATTTTATTCACCATTCTGGCATCCGTTCCAACCATGAATAGGTTGTGAGTTCTAACGTCGGTAGGAGATTAATTTATTCAGATTTCAGAAATGCAAAAGACCCTTAAATTATGTGAAAATATGCACATTCTTATAAACACAGTACTAGAAGGCTAAGGTTAGAATGTATTATACTAAATGGCATCTCGGTGTCAATAGGATACCTATTCCAATCCATTCACATTTACAGGCTGTCTAGTAAACAAGGAAAATATGATGAACATCTATTGTTTACCCGGAATACAGTTTCTCTACTGAGGCTTGGAATTAGGCATACAGAGACATTGCATTTACTATCTGTCTTGAAATTATTCAGCCGAAAACAAATCACAAAAGAGGACCACATGCTTTATTGTTACATAATGCCTAAATATGTCAGACTTCTAGATATGTGTGATTCATCAATCTCTATTCAGAATCGCACAATTCAAGGTCACTTATTAGATAAGTTTTTCATTTATGAGTCATTGCGAAATTCTGAATGTTGTCAGTTTTCTCTATTTTACTACACTATTTGTACTCTTCTCTTTTGCCTACAAAGAAAAAACGAAAGCTGCACAAAGCTGGTCTATTACATTGACAAATTCAGGATATGTCGGGATCATTGCAGCATCTAATTGCCAAATGGCTTTCCGAAATGTTAGAGCCAGAAGGGAGGGGCAACTATGTAGGTACTCCATTTGCAAGACTTTCGAATTTATTGGCTGCACAAAACACTCGACTGTAACTGGCAAACTTATACTATCAATGGAAGCAGAGTCTCTACTTACCAACGTGTTGCTTACAGAAACAATTTTTTCCTTCGCAAATATAGGGATGGAAAGAATCTTTAATTCTTTAAAGAAGACCTTTAAAGCATTGCTGGTAGCCATATTGCTACTAGGCAGTTTTAAGGACAAATTTGCGCGTATGACTACTACAATATGCATATATCAATTCATCTGATCCTGTGGTGCTAGTTGTATGGGTAATTCCACGCGCGTCCCTTCAAAACGTATTAGAGAGCACTACCAGGTATAGTTGCAAGAAGGCAACACTCGTTCACTCAGAATAGCTGTAATTGGTACGAAATTTTGTTATATGATGAACTCCCAATTACCTAGCAGTCATCACCATTCCAGTTAAATGTAGTATCATATTGAATTTATCAGTGAGAACAGAAACTCTTCTGATACTTAATTGTGAACTCCTTTAGTTTTCTGTTGACTATTTTAGTAACGTTCAAGCAGTCAGTTGTTTAGTTTTCCTAATCATTGTGATTAGTTCTTAAATTCCTAGTTAAGGCTGATGGCTGACATCTGACTAACAAACTTTGTTGTTCAACATAATGGTGTGAATTAATTGTAGTAAAACAGGATCTGACACACTGTACTTGGAAATCAACCATAGTATTGACAACTTACTTATCGGATGCCTTTATAAGTTATTTACGCCTAAATCTGCCTCAGAAGTTGAATGAATTGTATTTCTAGAAAACTGAGGTCTACGAAAAGGATTTAATTTTGTGATTAATAAAAGATATAGGTGTATTTAAGGAATATAACTTATTTATTCAGTATACTATTTTGGGGAACGAGCATAACAAGAAAGTGAAGTAAATAAGATATTCCTAATATGGTGCTACAATAACAGCAATACCGGATTATTATTTTCAACTGTAATGAATTATTCTTTGATTACCTTTAATACTGCGATGAAAATGATGCACAAGTGAGTAGGTGAATATCCAATTCCCGCTTAAAAAGATGTATATATGAGCATAATTTTCATCCACGGTCAACAAGTTAAGTGAAAGATCTAAATCAATATATACAGATATAAAACACTTTAATTTATTAGAATAGCTCAACGTTTTTATGACATAATGGTATTAAACTGGATTCTTTAAAAAGCCACAAGAAGCAATGACCATTACACATACGTTACTAAGCCTCACAAATAATGCGACTAAAAAGAAGGGTAAAAGGAGATTTATGCACTCCTCATAGTTGTTCACATTTCCTCTGGTATAGTTATTCTGACTATTGCTTTGGATTTGAAGAGAATATGGTCTGGTGGCATAGGCACTTCTATCATTCTAGTGCAATGGTTCACAGAGCCACATATAACCATAACCGATAACTCAGAATATTCAACTTTTTAAGTTAGAACTTGCAACAATTATTAATCAGGCAGGAATCAATCAATTAATCAGATTTCGGTAGGATTCTTCAACTGAATTTACGCAGTGTTATGTATACTATGAGAAATACGTTAGGTGATGTGTTACTGATTAATAAATTCTAGTGAGTCAGTCAGTCATAACAAAACAAAAGGTGAGAATGTTTTGCAGGTCAAGTTGAGATAAGCAGGAGGTGGCAGGAGTATGAGGGAATGACCTGACCACTTCTATGTGTGTATATCAATTCACCTGTTGCTGTGGAGCCAGGTTCATAGGTCGTTCCATGCGCATCCTGTCAAAAAAGGTCAAAGAACACTATGCAGCCTGGTTGCAGAAAGGAATTAGTGGTCGTATAAGGAGTAAAATAATCGAACATCTTGCTAACACTGGCCATTCCACCTCAACAAACGCCTTCTTCAAAGTAATCAACAAAGGGAAGAATAACCTGCCAAAGACAATGCGTTTCCATCTTTTCTGCATTGCAGAAGCCCTAGCCATTCAGTTTGAAGAACCAGAACTATGCAAACAAAAGAAAATTATTCAGCCACTTCTACTCTCAACTCTATTGATATAACTTTTACTTTTTTGCTTGTTTTTTTAACTACTTAAAAATTTTGTATTCCTTTAAAACTCTTAAGTAATTCCGTATTTGATTTTGTTTCCATTTTCACCCTAAGCACAACTCTTCCATCGAACTGTTCATGTTATAACGTAACTCTTCTTTAACAATCGTTTGTGACAACTCACCACTTTTGTTACTACCCTCTTATATCAACATTTAATTCCTCTGAATACTTTTTGTATTATGTAACTCCACCCAAAACTTACTGATTCCCACCTGTTTAGTTAAAATAACCATAACCAATTGTATTTTTGTTTGACAAACTTAATGTACACATACATACAAAATAACGCATATATATTTGCGACTGTAAAGCGAAGAAAATGAATTCACCGAAAAGAGACTCTTCACTGAACTACTGGTCTTCTCTCTACCAATGTTCAGATGGGGATTTTTCATGGACTGCATATAGCACCTGTGAAATCATATGTACAACAACAGGAAAAGATGCCCTGGTTCACGGCAAAATCACAACCTGTTCTTCATTCATCCATTAGTCATTACTCACCACAACTGTTTCTATGATTTTTCCAAATACATAGTATACATCTACTGCTGAAAGCTTACTGTAATAACTGAACAATTATTATTTTTTTATTACAAGGTCAAGGACCACACTAATCTTGTGAAGGCTGATGATGCTACGCAGTTGCCTAGGTTGAAATATGTGGAAAAGAAGAGGAACAGATTAACTAAAAGTCCTGTTCTAGGGTCGATGACCGTCATATCTTAAGACATTAAACCATTGTTCTAGTTTACCTTTATTCAGTTAACTCTATAGGCAGGAAATTGGTTCAATGATACAGAAATTTTGTGTCTATCAAGTATCATGAAAAAATTGATCATAAAATTGTTATAAATAAGTTCATGGTAAAGGTTTACCCTTTAAACATCGCATATATATACATACATATCCCACAATGGGTTAACTTTTTATTCCTAGAAGTTGCTGACGATTACAATCTAGCCCATAAGTGAATCATTCCTCATGGTGATGCAGTGCACTTTAAGACTATTTGAGGTCAAGGTCGGAGCGCAAACACCCACTGTAGAAACAATGATTTCGATTAACTGAAAGTATGACTATTTGGATTGCCAGGCAGATATCGATGTAATGGGTAATGACTTAAAGGTAAAATAAGAATTTTGGACAGTACGAGGTTAATATTTTTGATTAAACCATTCTACATGTTACTGATTTTTGTAAAAAAGAAATTAATTGGGGCTATGCTGAAGAGCAGGAAATGAATACAAAACAGCAAGAAGATAATACTGCTTGTGAAAAATTAGAATTTGCTTAAAACTATATACTACTGGTTGTTTGAGACGGGCAGTTGTATGTCATTTGGAATTTATCGTACCAAGCAGGTCACATATTGTGATGTGAATATTTTCGGTTTTCAAAGGAAACTATATTGAAATTTCACCTAGAACTGTGTGAAATTCAAATTAATTTGCAAACTGTGAATTTGATTTGGAAGTCAGAATTATCAGAAAGAATTCTATATCTTTCTGACCTGTATATTGATACTCATGTGCTTGAAAGTCATACAGCAGTCGTCAAATATTTCTTTCTAGGAGGTTGCTATTCTTGCGAAACTTTATTCATAAAATTGTTTTGTCAGTTGCCTTCACAGCTAGCTGACGTCATGTTGTTTATCCTGTGTAAAATGAATTTTGACAGCCTCCCACTTAAATTCGTATTATACGCCTGCCACAATCTGTTGTTTCTGTTTCGGTGACATGTACTGGCACGTGTTAACGAAATGACTGAAGTAAATAAAACAAAATGCAGCTATTTAAAGTGAAACCAGTGGAGCACCATTTCCCAGGGAGTAAAGTACTACTGGAACTAATTGGTAAAACATTTGTTACTAAATGTTTTGTTCTGAACAGATTATGAATTAACAATCTGCAAACAAGCTGCGACGGAGGTTTTTCCAAAGTGTTAAGTGAAATTTGTTAATATGTGCTTAAGTAAAGTTAGATTCTGTGCCAACACATTGATTGTACCGAACACACTCAAATCTTCAATTGGTAGCCTCACCGAGGATAAGATTATTAATAATAAACTACACTGAGTCTATATTGCATCACTAAACAGAAAAGACACCAGGACATTAAATTTTTAAAGGAAACGATTAACCTTTGTTCAATGTCTCTTGATGCATTGAAAATGCCTCATCGGATTGCTGAACGTTTATGAAGAGCTGATAGTGAGTATTTCGCGATAAATCAGATATCTCATATTTCATTGTTTCATTGAAATATTTCTGTTCAACCAAGCTGGTTATATTTGAAGTATTCTTAGAAGATATATGCAACAAATACGACCATTTGTGCCAAGCAGAGGGATCTAAATGAAGAACATAATAATTAACAAATTTTCTGATAATTAAAAGCACAATTTATTTTTCAGAACCTTTTGAGAAAAACAAATTTCTTCATCAGTTCTTATGTTATTTTTACCTCGTGGTAATATATTACTAACAAAGTATGCCAAAATATGTCATCTTAAATAGTTTCAGCGTAATTTGACTATCAGTCTTCATCTTAATCTTATCAGGATTATGGAAACAAGTCTTGAACAAGTAGCAAGTGTTTCTAAAAAGTATAAGCACAATTCGCAACACTGAAGTCTAGAAAAATTGATATGTGGTTGTCAGTGTAGATGCTGAGACATCTCGAATCGTAACGCATCTACGATTTCTTCCAGCTGTAATGTAAAATGTGGCACATATATACTACCTTGGTATTTTTTGAGCCTCGTGTACAACACTAAGATGTTTTTCACAGTTTCGAAAAGCCCCTCCAGCTTTGTTCCTGAAATAAAATATGATTGGTGATTGTTAAACTTGTAGTTCCTCAGCATTACACAGACATGGGTAGCCGTTTAGTGTGTTAGCATTCCCTAAATTGAAGTGGATTTAACTTATGCTTTATTGTCAGAAAAAAAAATTCATTAAATCTCGCACTATGCAAACATAAGATCTGCATAATTACTTTTATGCATGCAGCGGATCATTTGACTTCAGTCATACATCCATTCACTTAAGCATACTTTATTTAGTGCTTAACTAGTCTTCTTTATATCTTAAGACATGAAATATGTTTTAACTCTTGGATAATACTTTTATCAGCAAAACAATTGAATATTTTGTCGCATATAACAGTTGGTTACTTGAATCTCCAACTGCTTATTTATGAAATAGGTAGGGAAAATCAACCTAATTTTAATGTGAAATGACATTTATCAAATGAAAGATGTTGAATAGTTTCGAAGTGTTTACAACTTGGTAAAATAGGTTTTATTTTGTTTTCTACATTTATTCGTCAGCCAGTACTCGTACAAACATTATCATCGCACTAGTAAAACAATTTTTTTTCAATTTACTTAGATAAACTTGCAGTCTGACATCCTTCTTAATTCACATTCCATTTATCTTATGCACCATGTGATTTGGTGTGTGCAACTTATCCTATCATGTGACGATTATAGTTATTAGTTGTTACAAACAATATCAGTCGTTTAGTAGTGCTTAACATTTTCAGACGTAATACCATTTTTTGTAGGTCCGTGTATGTAGAAATCCTTGTGAAAACGTTTACCCTCTCACTTAAATATTCGAAGTATGCGCTAGACAGCACAAATTTACAGTATGAAATAACAATAAACTGTATAACATGCATCATGCAGCCACGCACACATATGTCAGTCATATTCCACTTCTAAACGATGTGCACAAGTGGACGTCAATGGGTAGTTGGAGAAAAGAAATACTATCACTTATATAAATGATCCCATTAAAGTATATATCCCGAGAAAGTGCCAATGAAACGAAACAATCACTAGAAATTCAAGTGATTACAGTGGTAAATAAGTCGTCATAAATTTTTAACGGTATAAAGAACTTTATGAAGATTGATTTCTCGCAGACACGAATGCAAAGTTTGTTCAGTCAAGGTGCTTAATTAGGTTTCGTTTTTTAGTTAGACTAGTGAATGCTTTGAAATAATTATCTGTTTTAAATTGAAATAAAATTCCCTTTTACGCTTACTTTTATATTGCTTATTCCAGATGCATGATCTCCAGCTCAAAAATCCTTTGTTTTCTAGGAACATTGTTGATATATCTCGTAGACTTGTGGAACAGGCTGTAACAAAAGAGGCAACACAACTTAACGAAATACAATAAATATGAGTAGCATGTAAGGTTCTAGGTAATACAAAATCTAGTATCTAGTCTTCTTAAGCTATAGTTATGATGTAAATCTGACTAAAGTTTTGGTCAGTATTTACCGCTCATCGTAATTGTCGACTGTAATTGACATTTAGTCCTCTTCTTCGTGTAAAACAGCCGCAAAAAGCTTCATTTACCTCTCAGATAAACCGCAATCATTTCATTAATTCATGTTGAGTCAAAACTTTGGTTATACAAAAACCTACTGTGACGAATGGGTAGTAGTAGTTGCACTTTTACAACAGGCTTTAAAATTATTTGTTGCTAGTATCACTTCATGCGGTCGTCAAATTCTATTTTCTCACCATGCATGACCAATTACCATAACTAAGCCATGCTATAGTAGCTGATTTATTTACTAGTGATGTTACTAGTTTTAACTTCAACACATAAAATTACTACCTAGTAGACACAAGCAGTACTTTCTGCACAGCTTTTTTAAACAGGAACAGGAGGACTTTTATGAAACTGTCTTAACTGATAAATGCATTGGCATGTGAGTTTTAACCACTTTTATTTTCATTATAAAGACTGAATATTTTGGAATTGTTCAACATTAATGAGAAACTAGCCTGAGTTCTGTTTCTATTTAGGGGACGAAAAACGTTGGCGTTCAAAGGTAGAATTTGCACTTATCTGTAGACAACCTTGAAAGTGAAATCCTCTTGTAATACGGGAAAGAGCTGCACATTAAATCCGTCATGAATATTCGACCTGTTTTCTTACAACATACATTAAATTGATGAAGTTAAAGTGGCTGTGAAAACCTGAGTTTCTGACATTTCAGGGACAGAAGTCAGGTAGATGACGTTGCACAAAAATATTCTGCAACATAATTGCTGTATGCAATTTAGTGGCATCTTTACTGACTGAAAACTGCTTTCAATAAAAAGAGTAAGCGTATTTTTGTTCATCTATTCCTAGTATCTTGACCTCTAATATGATATGAGCCTGACAATAGGGATTTGTATAGATAAGGCTTTAAGAAATGCGATCTTCCTTCACTTATAAGATACCCACCTGCTTATCAAATTGGACGTGATCATGACTTTGGTGTAGCTATTTTTTAAAAAGTAAGGGGATCGGTACTGCAATAGTTCTTTTATTCTACTCCTAATGACCATTTAAAAAGATTCAACATAGTGGTGCAGCCGACCACTTATTATTATCCCTTCGTATATGCATGATAACCTAGCGAAAGCAGGATGATGCAACATCGACATGTACCATGGATTAATTAAATGACCAAACTCAAATACGAATCATGTCGTCCCATTGATTTTAATTTCATTTATCAAATCAAGACGAGACACAACCTGAGTAGTTCCATTGAGTCTATGTAACGAGTCTATGCATTCAAACAGCTGGTTCAAGATGCATAAACAGTAAGCCCTTAAAATCTTTTGAGGGGTTTTCATATTCATTCCTTAGTATTTTCATTATGTGACTATCTTCTATAGTTTGAACAAACAATTAGGCTGATCTAAAGACACCAAGAAGTTTACTCGCTTTGTAAACTCTTTTACAATCAACGCAATGTTTCATTTTCCAAAGTTTCTTTTTCTACCTTAAAAAAAGGTAATAAGCATATATCTGATACAGTTCATATAAATGTTTGAATGTAACCTGTAATCTAAACGAATAAGTTATCAATTGAAAAGACCTCAGTGTAAAGCAGATCAAATAATGAAAACAGTGCCCGATTTCTCGCTGAGTAAGACAGATTAAGTCTAATTTTAGACTGCACAGTGTTAAGTACACTATTTTCTGTTGAGGTAATATTTATTGGCTAAAAACGTAAAACAAGATTATGCAAACCTTTTGTAAAACCAATACTAGTAGCCAGTATTAAGTTGTTTACGTGATCAGCAATGTAAACATAACAAATACTCATACTTTGTGGATTCAGGCTAGATTTTGGAAGTTGACATCTTTTATCATTGTTTATCTTTTTTTTAAATTAAGCTCTCAATGGGAAAAAGATCAAGTTTTCTACAGGCGGTTAATTTGCAAGAAAAGAAACTGATACTTCAGTGTTTGAAACCAGTGTGACTACCTACCACCTGCTAATGAATCTGTTCACATACTTATTTCAGAGCAAATAAAATGAGAAGTAATTTCCTGAAAAGGATGCGTTTTTTCTTCAGAGACAAATGTTTTAAAGTTTAAAAGAATGCGAAACCTGCTGTAGCACATCTGCTATGTATTAACAGGTGGTAATGAGAAAAAACAATAACTAATATGCTAATTTGATTACCATGCTACAGGAAACTCTTAACCGCAATGGTTTCAACAGTTTATGTGAGAAAACTTACTTGGAGTAAACTGCTCCTCTTTTGTAATAACAACAATTGGTGATCCTGTTAGGTGAGACATTTCGTGACAAGCAAGTTTACCAGAACCCCCATATGAAGGTGATTCTAATAGAAGCATTGTGTTTGTCTTGTAGTTGAAAACTATGTATCCAAGTTTTATCTGAAAAAGCTTTATCCGTTCGGAATGAATAGGTTCAGAATGTGATTTGCAGTCAGAAGAAATTAAGTTTACGTCTTTAATTAAATTGAATTCATAATCCAGTTGAATTAGGGAATTATTTGGTAATAATATAATGAGACGCGTTTTCAATGGTTCACATTGTAAGGATGTTATATTTATGTTTACAAAATATTTCTGGCTATTGAACTCAAGGTATCTGTCGCTGTTGTCATTTGAATGATTCATATCCGGCAGTAGAAATCTTTCTAATTTATATTTATTCACTGTAACTGACTTCTTCACAACGAAGATAAATCTGTAGATAAAGTATAAACCAAAAGAAAATAGTATTTCTAAAAGGAATTCTCAGAATAATCTAACAGGAATAATAAAAGCAACCGAATACAAGACCCTTCAGATAATCTCATAATTGACTAATTATTTCAACTAAATGAAGGTCAAATAGCTGTTAGGATTATTTTGTGACATGGAAACAGTCTGCAATAATTCCATAATGGATAAGAGTTTATTTTGATAAATCACATAGTGTAGTACAGTTATATTAACTGATGACGTTTCGAGCACAAACTATTGCTCATAATCATATCAAGTTGATATGCCCAAGTTTTATACTTATATCAGTCTGCAATAATTTGCAGAGTATGCTTTCAGTGTATCTAGCCTCATGCTTCCGAGCTACTGGTGTTCAAATGTACCTTGCTAGTTAGGCTCAGGGTTCTTTTCCGGTGTAACAACTAACTGGCTCACTTTATTGTTTGATTATTTTCTGTATGCATTCGGATTGCAACACTGGACTTCAGTACCACATTTCTATTGTCCCTGATTCACTACCGGTCTGTACAAACTTATTTTATGTCATACTTTAGAAATCTATATGTGCGTGAATCCAAGCACAAGATTCATATTTATTGCTGCTTACCCTGATAAAACTATCATTACATTAAGATAAAGTGCGAAAATTTTCCGGAAGAGTATTTCGGTTGCAACCCATCTCCAGAAGAAATAAACAACCATGGCGTGTGATTTCCAAATTTAAAATTGTTTCACTAAATGGTCTATGGAACCTAATATGTGTTTAAAATTTACCCAATGGTCACTGATTTCTGTTAATGCGACATTTTATGATTTGGACTCTGTAATATGTTAATTCTAGGAGACTAGTGCGACTGTTTATACGAAGTTCTGTAGTGAAACCACTATCTGAAATATTCTTCATAATAAGCTGAGTTCGTCTAGAAGATCTGAAATTCCTAGCAGTAGAAAAGTTTTAACTACAATATATTGTTTTCTGCTATTCATTACTGTACAGAACACTACTTACAAATCAGCTTTGAACTCACAATTTCATTTGTTCACTCTCTGTAAAGGAGCCACTAGTTGAAGTAACGAGAAATAATTTTATAGTCCGCCATACTTTATGTATGACAACTTTACACGGAAATTCTAAACAAACACGATTGAGTCTAATAACAGATGAGCAGCTCATTGCTACATTAGAAGCTATTTTTAAATTTAGTTTCTAATAAATTACTAGTTTCATCGCATCTATAAATCGTGTTACTGGCAGCACAACAGACAGAAATAGAATATCATTTCTGTTATATTAGGATTAGTAATAATTCATTCTGGCAGGTTGACATTAAATCTGTGAGTAAATTTACATTAAGGGTTTTTCAAACACCGTACGAAATCCTGTCTGCAGGACCATTTGAACTGGCTCACTCAGTTCGGTGAAAAACTAGGAAACAGTAATATAGGGTAAATAAATGTAGACAAATTAATGCCGTAGTCAATATTCATTATGTGTGAATCATAAGGATGATACATACTAGATACTTATCTGTTTTTTGTGAGGCCTACAACAAAGTATGTGAAGTTATACCGTAGGTAAACGTTCATCACTGAAGTTCATGATCACAAAGGCACCTACCAACCAATTCTACTAAACTTTAGGAGTGAACTGTCACTCTGTTTCACCCTAACCAACAAAATGGTGTTAAGCAAATGTTATTCACTAAACTTCTGATTTTGTTTATGTATTACTTTTTTTCTCTGAGTTTAATCCTCAGTCTTCATGCCTCTTTGATAATGTGTTCACCATCATTAAGTAAAGGAATAAATTAATGTACCAAGAATAAATACTCTGAATTCAGTCATCGTAACCTGTGACAGTATTCTGTTACGATAGTAATAACATTTCAGGCTATCACAAAATGAGCATTGATGCGTTTACACTTCATCTTACAGCCTCAAGTACAACATTAACAGTAGGATTTCTTTTTCTGTTAATAAATAATTCACCTTAAAGTTTTTTTAAGACTAGCACATTTTCATGCGTATTTTATTTGCATCAGAAATCAAGTCAATAGAAAAAAGAATAATAAAAACATTCAACCCATGAATCAAGTGTGTTTTTCTAATGTCAGGTCTTATTTTTCTAACAATTCTGCACGTACGAAAATAAATGAATTTCGCTCACATCAATTGATAAAGTGGTTTATATCTTGACAGTAGGTTTCGGTGTGGAATTTTCCCACTCATTTCATGAATGAAAAACGTGCTTTATCTCATATAATGACAGTAATAAATTGTCTTTGTTTTGTAAACTACAACAAACTACTCACTCTTATCAACTTATTTAATTTTATTTGATTACTTATGCAACAAATGACTGCTTCAATTACAACTTCATGGTCAAATGGTGCTGGGTGAAGACTTTTGCAGATTACTCATACCTTTCGCAGTTGATATTGACGACATATACCAATCAGTTCCTTTGCATCCATTCCTAAGAGGTGATACTGTTTCACTAGTCACCATTTCTATCCATTTCACCTGTGTAATAGCACTGAATTTCAATGAGCTATTTAATTTTTATGACAGTCGGATGAATGAAGTCCATGTTTAGCACTTCTTTGTTGAAGGAAACAACAAAGTCCCATAAAAAGTGAAACACGTAGAGTGAGGGTGTATGATTACATTTATCTATTATACCTAATCAGTAGTAAGACCAAGCAGACATTACTTTAAAATGGATAATATGCTTTGAAAATCTCTTAAGAAGATACATGGAGCATAGTAAATATCTCACACTTGGAATGACTTTTCAACCTAAAGTATTCGCCATAATACATAAAGAAACTCAAAACCAGCAGACTTAATTCACTGAGAATTTATGTTTGTGAATGTGGTGTGTGCTTTATGCTGCTGAATTGCAAAGTATTCCACAGGATCAATGATGATTTGATTTGCTTTTGGAGAGATGGAAAGGTTTGTGTATGTGAATTTCAGTTTCATATCGAAAACTTTAAAGGTGGAGTCAATCTCTGTCAGTCTGAAGTGTCACAAAGTAAATCTTTGCGAAACCATGTGTGTTTGGCTTCTATACTTCTAAATTTGCTCTATACCTCTGATATCTGATTTATATAATCTGCAGGCTTGATGATCACTAACTGTGTAGGACTGCTTGCATCAAGAAATTGAAAAGTCTCTCTGTTGGGCAGTAGATCAATGGATCATTATTTACGTATTAGGACAGATTTATTTAAAGATTTAGGCGAAACTGTAAATCTTTTCTACTAATATAGTAACGGTCTGTGGAATCTCATTCAACTGTCCTTAGAGTTATACTAGCTTGCAATTTTACAGTTTTAAGACAAGGTGTAAAGTAAAGGCACTTATTGAAACCAAAATGTGCTTTTTTAATACTAACAGTTCCCTTCAAAACAAAACGGAAACACAGAACAATAGTTCCACCAAAAATACTTTCCCTGATCTATTTCACTTTTGAAAACTGGAATACTTACGTTTGTGTACAGTTGGTAAGTTCATTAGTTCGGTGGTGACTAGTCTCAATGCGTGTTTTCTTCCATTCAAGACACAATTTCTGCACACACCTACCCTTCAGAGAGTGATAGCCTCCGCAGTGAGTCTAAAAGTCATCTAAAGATTTTAGAAACTAGATACAATGTACCACAAGACTCACTAGCAAATATAGCTGCACACCACCTCAAAATGCTTCGTTTTTACCTTTAAATACTGAAAAGTATATTTGACAAAAAAAATTATTATACACCAAAGCAGGCAGTATTTTGTATGATGTTCTAGGAGAATTTCCAGGGATTTTATATAGTGTAATTGGAAGAACTTGGTGAAGAAATCGAAGTGCAACCTAGCTAGATTATAAGAACGACATAGATTCGACTTCATCAAACTGTATGAATGTTGTCCTGCCTAGTAAATAAGTTAAGTAGAGTCAGATAAATTTGGAAAATGGCCTGTAATCAACACATAACTTCTTGAATTAAAACACTTACACAAAAACTCTCTGCCTCAAAATATCCTTTTATTTGGACAGTAACATTTAACACAATGTGGAAAGCCAATACAGATACTATTTCATATTTGTAATTAAACCCATTCAGTTTATGTCTAGTTCACTTCAGTAACAGAGATGGCAAATACATCAAGAAAATGAATTTTTATCAGGTTTTCCGTTTTATGTCAAATGACAGAAGTTATTGGCGTTATTTGGTTACCCAATATGTAGATTGATAACACGGAAAACTGAAAACTAGAAAATGGTCTTGTTTTTCTTTTAAAGTTAAACTGTTGAACTGTAAATCCTCTACACATAAATTATCCTTAAATAAGCAGATGAAAAACCCTTTTAAAATGAAAGCCGATCATATAATTTCGTAACCTTAATGTTAACTGATAAGTGAAAGTGGAATTAATATTCGAGTGCAAGCAGCATAACAAATAAAAGAAAATTTTATGCAACTGACCTTACACAAAATCAAATCAACTTTTATCTAATAATAAAGGATGTAAGTGCTTAAAAAGAATTTAAGGATACACACTGAAACAGAATGAAGGTTAGTGAACTAAAAGGTGATTTCAGTGAATACTGATTTATTCACATGAGTTAATTGTACAAATACTTTTATGCTTATTTTGTCTAAGGTGGTTTATATTCCATTTTGTTGTTTATAAAAGAGCGTTAATTATTCCACATTAAATTTCGAATACTGAAGAGGACTAATATCTCTCTAGGCCAAATTACTGACGGTGTTTCGATGATGTTACGACGATGTCGTCAACTTGACTACATGCAGTCCTTTCATATCAACAAATATTTTTGATTAAGTCAACGATATCCAGTTTGAAAATTCCTAAAGTCAGGTGAGTTATTACCTTTCCTGAAAACCAAATCTGACTGAAAGTTTAATTAAGTTAACATTGTGCATCTGTTATACAATTACGGTTGAAAACGAAAAAGCACTTTTACTCCCC